AATGGGTGTGGCTGACGCATGCGGACGCGGGCACTGGGGCCTTCGGTGGAGCTCCCTATGGAGCCACCGAAGGCGTTGCAGGGAGTGTTCCGAATATGGGTTGTGGGTGCGCAAGGGGCGCGGTGCACCGGGCTCGGCGGAGCTCCCTATGGGAGCCAGAAAGTGGAGGGCCGGTGCTGTGCCGAAATGGGTGTGCGGGACGCATGCGGCGCGCGGGCACTGGGGCCTTCGGTGGAGCTCCCTATGGAGCCACGAAACGTGTGAGGGGTGTGCCGAAATGGGTGTGGGTGACGCATGCGGGCGCTGGCACTGGGGCCTTCGGGGAGCTCCCTATGGGGCCACGAAACGTGTGAGGGGTGTGCCGAAATGGGTGTGGGTGACGCATGCGGGCGCGGGCACTGGGGCCTTCGGTGGAGCTCCCTATGGAGCCACGAAACGTGTGAGGGGTGTGCCGAAATGGTGTGGGGGACGCATGCGGCCGCGGGCACTGGGGCTTCGGTGGAGCTCCTATGGAGCCACGAACGTGTGAGGGGTGTGCCGAAATGGGTGTGGGTGACGCATGCGGGCGCGGGCACTGGGGCCTTCGGTGGAGCTCCCTATGGAGCCACGAAGCGTGTGAGGGGTGTGCCGAAATGGGTGTGGGTGACGCATGCGGGCGCGGGCACTGGGGCCTTCGGTGGAGCTCCCTATGGAGCCACGAAACGTGTGAGGGGTGTGCCGAAATGGGTGTGGGTGACGCATGCGGGCGCGGGCACTGGGGCCTTCGGCGGAGCTCCCTATGGAGCCACGAAACGTGTGAGGGGTGTGCCGAAATGGGTGTGGGTGACGCATGCGGGCGCGGGCACTGGGGCCTTCGGTGGAGCTCCCTATGGAGCCACGAAACGTGTGAGGGGTGTGCCGAAATGGGTGTGGGTGACGCATGCGGGCGCGGGCACTGGGGCCTTCGGTGGAGCTCCCTATGGAGCCACGAAGCGTGTGAGGGGTGTGCCGAAATGGGTGTGGGTGACGCATGCGGGCGCGGGCACTGGGGCCTTCGGTGGAGCTCCCTATGGAGCCACGAAACGCGTACTGGGTGGGTGAAACGCAGGGAAGAGGGAGGTGATGATGATGATGATGATGATGATGATGATGATGATGATGATGATGATGATGATGATGATGATGATGATGATGATGATGATGATGATGATGTTGGTGATGATGATGATGATGGCAGGAGGGAGGGGGCAGCGGGAGGAGGAGGAGGGAACGCGGGGCACCGTCTCTTCAAAACGAGGACCCAACACCACAGGATGGTTGGGAATTAAAAACAATACGTAAACACAATACGTAATCACAACGCGTAAACACTACGTAAGCACAACGCGTAATACACGTGAAAGTTTGTTCAACCCACGTAAAACAACACGTAAAAACAACACGTAAAAACGATACATGAACGTGAGAAGAAAACAATACGTGATAACAATACGTAAAAACAACACGTAAAAAAACGACGTCAAAACAATACGTAAAACCAACACTTGAAAACAATAACACCTAAAAGTAATACGTGAAAACCATAAATAAAAACAATACGAAGAGGGAACCCAAATATTTTTAATCAATTTAGTAATGTTTAATAATAATATAATAAAGACACGTAAGCGTGAGAAGAAAACAACTCGTTAAAAAACGTTAAACCACCACGTAAAAACAATACGTCAAAACAATACGTAAAAAAAACAAATAAAAACAATACGTGAAAAAACAATACGTAAACGCAATACGTGCAAACAATACGAAACAACAACACATAAAAACAATACGTGAAAACAATACGTTAAAACAACGCGTGATCACAACGCGCAAACACTACGTGAGCACAACGCGTCCTACACGTGCAAATTCGTTCTATCCACGTAAAAACAACACTTAAAAAAACACGTAAAGCAATACGTAAAAACAACACGTGAACAACAACACGTAAACATAATACGTAAAACAATACGAAACAACAACACTTTAAAAAAAAAAAAAAACAATACGTACAAAAAAAAAAAAAAAAAACGTTAAGACAGCACGTGATCACAACGCGTAAACCTTACGTTAGCACAACGCGTAATACACATGAAAATTCGTTCAACCCACGTAAAAAACAACACATAAAAACAACACGTCAAAACAATACGCAAAAACAACACGTAAAAACAATACGTAAAAACAGCACGTCAAAACAATACGTAAAAGCAACACGTAAAACCACCACTTAAAAAAAAACTATAAATAAAAACAATACGAAACAACAACACATGAAAACAATACGTAAATCCAATACGTTAAAACAGCACGTGATCACGACGCGTAAGCATTACGTGAGCACAACGCGTAATACACATGAAAATTCGTTCACCCCACGTCAAAAAAACACGTAAACACAACACGTAAAAAGAACACGTAAAAAGAACACGAAAAAACAATACGTGAAAACAACACGTAAAAACAATGAATAATCACAATACGAAAAAAAACACATGAAAACAATACGTAAAAACGCTACGTTAAAACAGCACGTGATCACAACGCGTAAGCACTACGTAAGCACAGCGCGTAATTCACGTGAAAGTTCGTTCTACCCACGTTAAAACAACACGTAAAAACAGCACGTAAAACAATACGTAAAATAACACGTAACAACACGCACGAGCAGCACGTAAATCAATAGGTCAATGCAACGAAGGTTTAAATTAACCGTGCGGGAAACAATACGCAAAACAATACGCAAAACAACATGTAAAGCATACAAAACTCGTTCTAACAACGCATCAGAACAACACGTAAAAGCAATACATAAAACAATATGAAGACAACATAGCACGTAAAAGCACGTAAACACACCGCGAAATACACGCAAACAACACGTGAAAAACAACACGTAATCATGATACGTAAAACAATACTTAAACAACAATACGTAACAAAAAAACACGTAAAAAGACAATACGTAAAAACAAAACGTCAAAACAGCGCGTGGTCACAACGCGTAAACACTACGTGGGCACAACGCGTAATACACGTGAATTTCGTTCAACCCACATAAAAAAACAACACGTAAAAACAACACGTAAAAACAACACGTAAAAAACAACACGTAAAACAACACGTATAGCAATACGTAAAACAACACGTAACAACACGTACGAGCAGCACGTAAAGCAATCCGTAAATGCAACGAGGGTTTAAATTAACCATAAGGAAACAATACGTAAAACAATACGAAAAATAACATGTAAACCATAACAACACGTTAAAACAACACATCAAAACAATACGTTAAATAACATGTAAAAACATAACAGCACGTAAATACGTATTGCTTCATCGTAGTTGTTTTACGCATTGCTTTTACGTATTGTTTTTACGTCTTGTTTTTACGTATTGATTTTACGTGTTGTATTTAGGTATTGTTTTTACGTATTGTTTTTCCGTATTGATTTTACGCATTGTGTTTACGTATTGCTTTTTACTCGTTCTTTTTCACGTTTACGTATTTGTTGTACGTATTATTTCTACGCTTTGCTTTTACGTATTGTTTTTACATACTGTTTTTACGTATTGTGTTTACGTTTTGTTTTTACGTATTGTTTTCTACACGTTTTTTTGTTTATCACGTCTACGTATTGTTTTACGTATTGTTTTTACGTATTGTTTTTTTCTCACGGTTAACATATATTTTCTCACGGTTCAGAATTACAATTCTGCGCATTACCCTGCTCGGGCAACCCCTGCAGCCCAGAAAGCAGCCGCCAATGCAACCTTCGGGGGTGGGCGGAAGGACGGACGCCCCTTGAATCGATGGTGTCGCTGGCCTCCACGTCCAAGGTGATGGTCTTGCCAGTCAGCGTCTTCACGAAGATCTGCATGCCTCCGCGCAGGCGCAGCACGAGGTGCAGCGTCGACTCTTTCTGGATGTTGTAGTCCGACAGCGTGCGGCCGTCCTCCAGCTGCTTGCCTGCGAAGATCAGGCGCTGCTGGTCCGGCGGGATGCCCTCCTTGTCCTGGATCTTGGCCTTGACATTATCCGCCGAACCCCGCGTGCCCTGGGGTGACAGGGCTCGTGAGATGCTTGGCTACTCCCTCCCCCCCTGTTCCCACTGCCTGGGAGTCCAAACTCTTGCTTGGGGTCTGCAGGGGCGGGGGGGCGGACGACCTCCTCAACACATTCTGAGCCTCAAAGACGCCTCCACAATTGCCAGCTGGGCCCACGCGGCCCCACGCAAACAACTCGAGCTGCCAAGTAGGCCCACAACAGCAAGAACAAGAGCCCAGACTGCCGAAACGAAGCAAAAAAACATGGGGGTCCTGTGCTTTCCTTGGGCTTCCCACTGTTCTGCTGAGGATGGCCCCGAGGTAGGCTCCAGAGGCCTCCGAGACGGTGGAAGAAGTCCCCAAGTAACCCCATAAGACGGGCCAAGATGCCTCCAAGATGGCATCGGAGGCTCCCAATTGAACTCCCAAAAACCTTCGAGACGACTCGCAAGACGGCCTCCGATCAGCCAAAACTACACCTAAACGCCACCTGGCGGCCCGAAGACACCCCAAAGCGGCCCAAAAACCGACCAAGAGATATCAAGTAGCCTCAAGAGACCAAAAAAAATCCCAGGAGAGCCCGGAACGAGCCCCAAAAGGCACAGGGTGGGCCCGTATACAAGGCCCCACACATGTCGAGCCCATCCCACTCGCCCCTCCCTCGCTTTCACTTCCCGCTACTCCTCGTTTTCCTTTTCCTCCTTCTGCTCCACCTCTCTTCGACGCCCCACTGCGCATTACCCTGCTCGGGCAACCCCTGCAGCCCAGAAAGCAGCCGCCAATGCAACCTTCGGGGGTGGGCGGAAGGACGGACGCCTCTTGAATCGATGGTGTCGCTGGCCTCCACGTCCAAGGTGATGGTCTTGCCAGTCAGCGTCTTCACGAAGATCTGCATGCCTCCGCGCAGGCGCAGCACGAGGTGCAGCGTCGACTCTTTCTGGATGTTGTAGTCCGACAGCGTGCGGCCGTCCTCCAGCTGCTTGCCGGCGAAGATCAGGCGCTGCTGGTCCGGCGGGATGCCCTCCTTGTCCTGGATCTTGGCCTTGACATTATCCGCCGAACCCCGCGTGCCCTTGGGTGACAGGGCTCGTGAGATGCTTGGCTACTCCCTCCCCCCCTGTTCCCACTGCCTGGGAGTCCAAACTCTTGCTTGGGGTCTGCAGGGGCGGGGGGGCGGACGACCTCCTCAACACATTCTGAGCCTCAAAGACGCCTCCACAATTGCCAGCTGGGCCCACGCGGCCCCACGCAAACAACTCGAGCTGCCAAGTAGGCCCACAACAGCAAGAACAAGAGCCCAGACTGCCGAAACGAAGCCAAAAAACATGGGGGTCCTGTGCTTTCCTTGGGCTTCCCACTGTTCTGCTGAGGATGGCCCCGAGGTAGGCTCCAGAGGCCTCCGAGACGGTGGAAGAAGTCCCCAAGTAACCCCATAAGACGGGCCAAGATGCCTCCAAGATGGCATCGGAGGCTCCCAATTGAACTCCCAAAAACCTTCGAGACGACTCGCAAGACGGCCTCCGATCAGCCAAAACTACACCTAAACGCCACCTGGCGGCCCGAAGACACCCCAAAGCGGCCCAAAAACCGACCAAGAGATATCAAGTAGCCTCAAGAGACCAAAAAAAAATCCCAGGAGAGCCCGGAACGAGCCCCAAAAGGCACAGGGTGGGCCCGTATACAAGGCCCCACACATGTCGAGCCCATCCCACTCGCCCCTCCCTCGCTTTCACTTCCCGCTGCTCCTCGTTTTCCTTTTCCTCCTTCTGCTGCTCCTCATCCTGAACATCACACCTCTCTTCGACACCCCACTGCGCATTACCCTGCTCGGGCAACCCCTGCAGCCCACAAAGCAGCCGCCAATGCAACCTTCGGGGGTGGGCGGAAGGACGGACACCTCTTAAATCGATGGTGTCGCTGGCCTCCACGTCCAAAGTGATGGTCTTGCCAGTCAGCGTCTTCACGAAGATCTGCATGCCTCCGCGCAGGCGCAGCACGAGGTGCAGCGTCGACTCTTTCTGGATGTTGTAGTCCGACAGCGTGCGGCCGTCCTCCAGCTGCTTGCCGGCGAAGATCAGGCGCTGCTGGTCCGGCGGGATGCCCTCCTTGTCCTGGATCTTGGCCTTGACATTATCCGCCGAACCCCGCGTGCCCTGGGGTGACAGGGCTCGTGAGATGCTTGGCTACTCCCTCCCCCCCTGTTCCCACTGCCTGGGAGTCCAAACTCTTGCTTGGGGTGGTCTGGGGGGGGGGCGCCGACGACCTCCTCAACACATTCTGGGCCTCCAAAACGCCTCCGCGATTGCCAACTGAGCCCACACGGCCCCCCCCCCCCAAACAACTCGAGCGACCATGCAGGCCCACAACGGCCGAAACAAGATCCCAGACTGCCGAAAAGAGGCCCTGAGCGTAGCGCAAAAACGCCTCAAGAGGCCACCCCTAGAGCAACAAAAAAATCATCTTGGCGAAGGACCCAACCATAAGCAATTGTTCGTAACGCGTTGTGGGTGCCGATTTCGGTGGCGCTCCCCATGGGGCCACGAAACGCTGCCTTGGGTGGGGGAACCGCATGCGAACTGCGCCACTGGAGTGGGCCTTCGGTGGGACTCCCTATGGGGCCACGAAACGCTGCCCTGGGCGGGGGAATCGCATGCGAACTGCGCCACGGGGGCCTTCGGTCCCTATGGTGCCACGAAACGCTGCCCTGGGTGGGGGAACCGCATGCGAACTGCGCCACTGGGGCCTTCGGTGGAGCTCCCCATGGTGCCACGAAACCTTGACCTGGGTGGGGGAACCGCATGCGAACTGCGCCACTGGGGCCTTCAGTGGAACTCCCTATGGGGCCACGAAACGCTGTCCTGGGTACGGGAACCGCATGCGAACTGCGCCATTGGGGCCTTCGGTGGAGCTCCCTATGGGGCCACGAAACGCTGCCCTGGGTGGGGGAACCGCACGCGAATTGCGGCACTGGGGCCTTCGGTGGAGCCCCCTGTGGGGCCACGAAACGCTGCCCTGGGTGCACTGGGGCCTTCGGTGAATCTCCATATGGGGCCACGAAACGCTGCCCTGGGTGGGGGAACCGCATGCGAGACCAGCCACTGGGGCCTTCGGTGAAACTCCCTATGGGGCCACGAAACGTTGCCCTGGGTGGGGGAACCGCATGCGAGACCAGCCACTGGGGCCTTCGGTGGAGCTCTAATGGGGCTACGAAACGCTGCCCTGGGTGGGGGAACCGCATGCGTGAGCAGCCAACTGGGGCCTTCGGTGGAGCTCCCTATAAGGGCCACGAAACGCTGCCCTGGGTGGGGGGACCGCATGCTAGAGCAGCCACTGGGGCCTTCGGTGGAGCTCCCTATGGGGCCACGAAACGCTGCCCTGGGTGAGCAGCCACTGGTTGCCCTTCGGTGGAGCTCCCTATGGGGCCACGAAACGCTGCCCTGGGTGGGGGAACGCATGCGAGAGCAGCCACTGAAGCCTTCTGGGCAACGAAACGCTGCCTCTGGGTGGGAGAACCGCATGCGAGATCAGCACTGGAGCCTTCGTGGAGCTCCATATGGGGCCACGAAACGCGCATGGGGGGGAACGCAGCGAGAGCAGCCACTGGGGCCTTCGGTGGAGCTCCCTATGGGGCCACGAAACGCTGCCCTGGGTGGGGGAACCGCATGCGAGAGCAGCCACTGGGGCCTTCTGTGAAACTCCCTATGGGGCCACGAAACGCTGCCCTGGGTGGGGGAACCGCATGCGAGAGCAGCCACTGGGGCCTTCGGTGAAACTCCCTATGGGCCACGAAACGTTGCCCTGGGTGGGGGAACCGCATGCGAGACCAGCCACTGGGGCCTTCGGTGGAGCTCCCTATGGGGCCACGAAACGCTGCCCTGGGTGGGAGAACCGCATGCGAGAGCAGCCACTGGGGCCTTCGGTGGAGCTCCCTATGGGGCTACGAAACGTGTGAGAGGTGTGCCGAGAGCAGAGGCAGGGGGAGGAGGGAGGAAGGGGAGGAGGGAGGAGGGGGAGGAGGAGAAGGAAGGAAGGAGGTGGGACGCGGGGCGCTCTCTCTTCAAAACGAGGACCCAACACCACAGGATGGTTGGGAAAAACATGGGGTTCCTGTGCGTTCCTTGGGCTTCCCACTGTTCTGCTGAGGATGGCCCCGAGGTAGGCTCCCAGAGGGCTCCGACACGGTGGAAGAAGCCCCCAAGCAACCCCAAGACTGGCCAAGACGCCCCCGAAACGGCATCGGAGGCTCCCAATTGAACTCCCAGACAGCTTCGAGACGACTCGCAAGGCGGCCTCCGCTCAGCCAAAACTACACCTAAACGCCACCTGGCGGCCCGAAGACACCCCAAAGCGACCCAAAAACCGACTAAGAGATACGAAGTAGCCCCAAGAAGCCTTGAAACAGGATCCCAGGAGAGCCCGGAATGAGCCCAAAAGGCACAGGGTGGGCCCGTATACAAGGCCCCACGCATGTCGAGCCCATCCCACTCGCCCACCCACCCCCCACTTTCACTTCCCGCTACGCCTCCTTTTCCTTTTCCTGCTTCTGCTGCTCCTCAACCTGAACATCACACCTTTATTCGACACCCCACTGCGCTTTACCCTGCTCGGGCAACCTGTGCAGCCGAGAAAACAGCCGCCCTTGCACCTCCGCTACCTTTCTTTTCCCTTTCCTCCTTCTGCTGCTCCTCATCCTGAACATCACACAATTATTCGAAGCCCTTCTGCGATTTACCCTGCTCGGGCAACACCTGCAGCCCAGAAAGCAGCCGCCAATGCAACCTTCGGGGGTGGGCGGAAGGGCGGACGCCTCTTGAATCGATGGTGTCGCTGGCCTCCACGTCCAGGGTGATGGTCTTGCCAGTCAGCGTCTTCACGAAGATCTGCATGCCTCCGCGCAGGCGCAGCACGAGGTGCAGCGTCGACTCTTTCTGGATGTTGTAGTCCGACAGCGTGCGGCCGTCCTCTAGCTGCTTGCCGGCGAAGATCAGGCGCTGCTGGTCCGGCGGGATGCCCTCCTTGTCCTGGATCTTGGCCTTGACATTATCCGCCGAACCCCGCGTGCCCAGGGTGACACGGCGCGTGAGATGCTCGACTGGCCCCCCTAAAAAGGTGTACGGAATCCTGATTCTCAAGAGGCCACCCAAGTCCCCCCCCCAAAAAAAGACATGGTTCAAGTGGTTGCCTTTTGCTTCCCATTGCTTTGCTGAAGACGGCGCCAAGATGAGTTCCAGAGTCCCCAAAACGATCCTAAGACGGGCCAGGATGCCTTCAAGATGGCATCGAGACGACTCCAAGGCGGCCCAGGACCGTCCAAACACCGACCTGAGACGCCACCTGATGGCCCAAGAGACCTACCAAAGGATACCAAGTAGGCCCAAAATGCATCATAAAGACCCAAGAAAAAGCCGACGCGGTCCCCAGACGGCCCAAGATGGGCCTTTGTGTTCGGCCACAGGCGTGCCGACCTCCTCCCCCCCCTCCCCTCTCGAGTTCCCTTGCCCC